GGATTACTAGATTAGAGCTACAGCCCCCAAGGAACGCAGTGAGACGGACGCCTTCTCTTGCAGCCTTTGGACAGTTTCTGTCATTCACTAATCCATACTGGACACTCACTGTCCCCTGGGGCGAGACTTTTTTTCAGCTTTTACACATCTTCTGCATGATCCCAATCACCTGGCTCATATTAATGAACATAGCGTGTTGTGGGCAAGAGTGCGGAAAGGGAGGGGGTGAAAAGAAACCTGTAAGGCTTGGCGAAAGCAGAAATTTCCCTTTGTCGGAGTTATTGCTGCGTGCAGAGATGATAGACAAAGTCAATGGACTGTACGAGCCACAGCCGGTCATGGTCAACAGCTAAGCATGAAGGCCCTGACAGATTCAGTGAGGTCAGAGAAAGAGATTGAGAGAAGGAGAGAACAAAGGCTTTCTACACGGCAGTGATACAATGTAAATTTTAAAGCTGCTGTAATCATTTTTTATGGCTCTAGGAACGGCAATGCTATACTGTCTGTAGGTTGGTTTGTCCACCACTTTAGTCCAGACTGAAAATGAACAACGATTGGATGGATTGCTATGAAGAAAGACAATGAATCTCCTGACTTTTCCTCTTTGAGGTTAACAATGATTTTGATAACTGTTAATTCTGGTCAAAGATTTTGATGGATTGGCACACAATTTTGTACTAGCATCTGTGGTTCCACCATGTGACTTTGGTGAGCCCCTGACTTTTCCTCTAGCAACCACCACACTGAGCACCATGAGGCTGACTTTTTAGCTCTTTATCAAAATATCTCAACCACTACTGGATGAATTCCTGTGACAAACAATATAACTCAATTAAATTACATTTCCATATTTTCATAACCACAATCACAGAGATCTATTTTGGCTCAAACGTTTGGTTTTCCATAAGCCTCAGCTATACTACTTTATGTTCAGTGCTAATGACCAACTGTTGCAACGTGCTGACGTGCCCAACCAACACACGGTTCAATATGTTAATGTTATAATTGTGAGCATGTTAGCATCCTGGTGTTAGAATGTAGCTTAATCACAGCCTCACAGAGCTGCTAGCATGGCTGTAGACTCTTTTTTCTTGTTTAGTAACTATGGCTCAAAATGTGTATACATGATAGGAGTCGCAGTGTTGTGATGAACCCACAGAGAGTTCTCACTGACTCTGCAGCTCCTGTTTCAGTATCTTTCACCTCACTGGTTTGGTTTTATGGCATGCAACTTTGCTGTTTTGGTTTACTCTCACCTCTCTCATCACTGTCGTTCCCAGTTACATCTGGCAGCTGTTTTCAGTGAAAGCCCAACTGTACGCTACCTGCCCAGCACCAAATGGCAGACAGACACAGTTAGCAACTAGCTGATGAACACAGTGCAGCATTTAGCAGTGAATTTAGAGTGAATGCCAATGAATGCTAATGTTGCTCTGTATGCTGCTGGGTGTATAAATAAGAAACTGTTTGCAACAAGATCACCATATCAGCAGTTTATTTATCCTGTCCCCAAGCGGCCAAAAAAATCAGGTTTAATAAATGTATTTCACGTAACTCATTTCTTTTTGACATTTGAGCAGTTCTCAGGTTTCACTGATATTCATGGACCGGTGTGAGGGATGCTCTGTCAATGCAAGGAATGCCTTGACTGCTACATTTCCCGACAGGGACGCACTCTTTCTGCCAAACACGCACCTGCATCAACATATCCCAGAGAGACACGAAAGATCACCTCATCACAAGCTTGCAGAATATCAGCAGTGACAAAACGCTGGCTCAGAAACACAAGACAAAGTCCAATTGAACAAATAGCTGCCAATCTTTTGTCCTTTATATTTTTAATAGGTCCATTGCTCCCTCATGTTCACACACCCCTTCACAAGCTCCATTCACTCCTTGTGACGGCTGCTTTCAGCTTCACTCACACTGGGCTCTTATCCTCCTGAAAGATAATTGTAAATGAATAAGTAATTAAGTGAAAGATGAGTGAGGTTAGAAGAGCAGGAATGTGAGGGAGTAGGGAAATGCAAGAGGGAGCCTCAGAGCGGGAAGGAGGTCGACTGTTGACGGCAAAGATGTGGTTGAGAATGAGTTTGAGAGGGACCCTCTGAATGGAGATTTGCACAAAAATAGATTGTGTCTGTCAGACCCCCCACTGTGATGCGGGGCTAGACTACAATAGAAACAGCAGTCATTAGCAATAACTCTTTCAATCTTTCTTTCCCTGTTTTCCTCAACTTTTTTCACCCCCATCCACCCTCTTCGTTCTTTTACGTCATTGCTACCCTGTTTCCCACTTGCAGTCGCCTACCCTTTTCCATCTCTTAATCTCTTGATCTGTTTAGATCCTGTTTACGAAAACATGTACGATGAACTTGGCCTCATCTAAGATACTTTTGCAGAATTTCAAAGAAGCCGTACTGTGTGAATGCACCGTTTAAAGAAAAAACAAAAAACACTTTGAATACTACATGAATAAAACTCTGGATGTTATTTTGAGCATTAACACATAAATGGAGCAAAACTATAAATCTCAGCAACATTGCTTTTGTCAAAACTTGTAACAGATCAACTCAGTTTGATCTATTTAACCTATAATCAAAAAATGTCTAAGAAGGCTTTACAATCTGTACAACAAAAGACACATCCTATCAGCCACTTAGGGAAACAAGCTCTCAACACAGCAAACAGTTGCCTTTTTAAACATCTATCACACATGGAGCAACATTAGTATTCATT